GACTTCTCTTTGGTGTGCAGTAGGTCCATTCCAGAAAGTTTTCTCTGCTTTTGTCTGTCAAATAGCAAACGCTCTGAACAACCTTTCACTAAAAGTACTAAGGACAAGAAACCTAACTATTACCAAACTCCATTCTGAAAAAAAGCATCTGTTCATTTGGTTCACTTGGTTATGAAGATGCAGAACTCTATACATGTCTGTTACTATTGGGTCTGTGAACCCTGCCCTTGGTCATGGCTCATACCCATCACTTATACATTTTTTTTTGTCTTTTAGGTGAAGGAATGGTTATGTTTGAACTGCCAGATGCAGAGAGCTTTAGGGATGGACATGACCACAGCACCTCGCTCCAAAAGCCAGCAGCAGCTACACTCCCCTTCACTTTCTCCATCCCATTCCCCAGCCAAACAGCCCCAACCTCAACCCCAGGTAAAGACAGGACAAGAGAAACTACCAGGAACTGTGCTGCCAGGCACCAGGCAGAGTGCTGGTGTACTGCAGCCAGATGCACCAAAACCACACCCAGCTACAGTGCAGAGGGAACAACACAGCCAAGGCCAGCCAAAACCTGCTGCTCCTCAGGAAGTGGTGAGATCTCCACCTCAGCATCAGCAAGCAAAACCTCCTTCCTCTGACCAGAAAAAAAGTATGGGAGACTCCCCAGCAAAGACTTCAGCACCACCGCCCAGTGCTGGAGCACAAGAGCAACCCCAGGAGGGACTCACTGGAAAGCTCTTTGGGCTTGGAGCTTCTCTCTTGACCCAGGCAAGCACACTTATGTCTGTCCAGCCAGAGGCCACCCCACAAAGTCAGCAGTCCCCTGGCAAAGTGCCTCCAAAAATTGTCTTCAGTGATGCCAGCAAGGAAGCTGGCCTTAAAGCCCCAGGTGCTACACCTGGAGCACAGGGTAGGGCTGGGACTGCTTCAGCTACAAAGCAAGGAAAAGCAGAACAAGTCTTCAAGCCAAAGGAAGTGCCGAAAGAAAGGGTCTTGTGCCCTCTGTGCAAAGCAGAGATCAATGTGGGCTCTGGTGGACCCTGCAACTATAATACCTGTACAACCTGTAGACAGCAGGTCTGTAACATGTGTGGATTCAATCCAACACCTCATCTGGTGGAGGTAAGGAGAGTGTTTACTGGGCTTGAGTTTCTGTTAAGAGTAATAAAAATCCTTATTCTGTTTTGAGATTCTGACATTAAGAAAATGGGAAAAGTCAATGCTTTTTACTTCTAGCTTTTAAGAAAATTCCTTCACAAGAGATTATTTAAGAAACTGGAAAAAGGGACCATGGAGGGAGAAAACTCTTTTAATGGATTAGAAATTAGCCAAAAGGCAGATACAAAAAATAGAAATAAATGGCCAGTTTTCATTATGATTAAAGGTTAACAGCAGTGGCATAAGATTCCATAATAGTTCATATGTTGTTTAATACACTTGTTAATAATCTGGGGAAGCAGTAAAGTAGTTGAGGAAATTGTGTGATTAGGTTATACTGGTCAGGCATGGAAGTGTCAGTGCCCGTGTCTACACATGCACTTTACTGTGGAGTAGACTAATTAGCTATACAGCATCGCTGTCTACACGTGCAACAGCATTAGGCAGCAGTAAACTAATTTACACTGACGTAAGATACTACCGTCAGGGACAGTACTATCTTATGCCAGGGTAATTTACTGTGGTTAAACACACGTGTAGATGCTGACCAGGGGTGTAAAGTGTGCTTGGTTAGCACAGCCAATCAGGGACCAGACTCCTGCCTGCTGCCTAGCCACACATCTCCACATTTTCAGCACCCTATGCTCCAGCCATCTCCTCCGCTGCCTGACACCACTATCCAGAACCTGGAACTGACCCTCTGTGTCTCCTGCCAGCATGGGCCTGCTCTGCCCCTGCTGAAATTGCTGCTCTCCTAGATGCACGTGTAGGCGCTGTGCCTGGGAGTAGTTTACTCTGGCTCAAACTGCTCCAGAGGTTATAGCTTCACAATAATTGCATGTGTAGATGCACCCAGTCTCACTAGAGACTGTGACTTTGTGGCACCCCATTTCTCACAGATTAGGTGACAAGTGGGAAGAAAGGGTTGTCTTCCTTGGATGGTAAGAGAGGTGGGAAGAAAGTACTGTTTTCTAGGAGGGGAAGAGTCTCCAAGAAAGTGGCCCTCATAACCTAAAAGGGAAGGTAGTATTGTGCATTCTTTGCTACACCCCGGAAATACTAAAGGGTAAATTTTATTTCACCTTTGTATACCTAAGTGGCCCTTGTGTGGTCATGTAATTGCAATATTTGGCAATTTGACTACTGTGCAGTAGCACTGTATGCAGAAACTGTGATGCAATACTACTGTGCTGTAGTCTTGGGCTATTGCACAGTCAGCATCATGAAAAAAGCTGTTCGGTGACACTACTGTGCAGTAACTTGTTTATACAAGTACTAAATGACTGTGCAGTAATGACTGCACACTCAGTGTCTCTGATATACATGTATTTCCTAGAAAGAGCAAAGCCCTCCTGCCTTTTATTCTAGGGTTTAGGTCACTTACCAAGGAAATAGGAAACTCAGATTGTAGGCCCTGTGCACCTCCAAGGGTTTGAATTTGCATCTCCCTCTTTCTAGCAAAGTGCTGTAAGTACCAGGTCATGTACTAGATATTGAACACAGCACTCTCCAGTCCTCCATTATGCAGCCAGAAGGCAAAGATACTGTATGTGGGACCAGAAGGAGGAGGATGAGATAGCGGGAGCTCAGTGACATAGATGTTTCCCAGGAGGGACTGGGGACCTAAGTTCTGGCCTAGTGGCTTTTTTGCACCCTATATATTCATTGGATAAAATGAGTAAACATCAGTGGGATAGTTTCTTCTGCAACAAGTGGCTAGAGCAGAAACAAAGGGCTGTGAAGTAGGAGGTTGAGCCTTTAGGGTCTTCTATCCTTGCACTTTTGGGCAGGAGTGAAAAAAGACTCTTATATCAAGCTGAGCTAGTAGCCCGTTATTTTGCAGTACAGTAGGATACTGGAAGTGCATCCTGGTCTTGAGTCCATGCTGTTTTATGGAAGGCTGTTAGTTAATTAATCAGTAATCATCCATAACGTTCTAAAAAGTAGGGACTCTTGACTATGCAGATATAACTGAGATTTCTGACTTTGGTGCCACTGCTTTTGTATATTTCTAGCTGGGAGCTTGGTACAGTCCAATTTAAAGGAGATTGTCTGTTTAATCCAAAAAGTTAATGGTATCTTGTCCTCAAACCTGCTCTAATCTAATTCATTCACTGAATATGTGATAAAGGAATGGTAGAATACAGTGCCTTGCCCAGAACAGTCCCCTCTGTACCACAGCAGAGAACCAAGGCTAGTAGTGGCCAGTGACTTCAATTTTCACATGGATGTAAAATTTTCCGAGCTTTTTCAGTATTTTATGGGCACACAGCACATCTACACAAGACACTTTGCTGCACATTAGACTAATCTACACGTGCTCTGGACTTACTATGCATTAAATTAGTATAATGCACCATTTGCTAGTACTGACCCATATAGGTACTAGATATATGGTGCATTAGGTAATGTGCAGTAATGCAAGTGTAGATGCTGACAGGGGGCCACTGCTACGTGGCTAAGCCCCAGTGCAGGGGGGAGCTGTCTCCTGGCCCCTGCACATTGGGATGGGTCCTGATGTGCACGGGCCTGGGAGATCTGTGCCAGCTGTAGGGACTGGCACAGAACAGCTCTTCTGGCCCTGTGCACATTGGGTTCTGATCTCCACATGGCTGGGAGGCAGTTGCCTGGCAGCCAGAACAGCTCTCCCTGCCCTGTGAGGATCAGGATGGGTCCCAATCTCCATGTGGCTGGCAGGCAGCATCCTGCCAATCTGGGACACCTCTTCCTGCCTCCTGTGGACCCTGCTGCCTAGGCTGACCAGGAGCAATTTCCTCCCAGTCATCATCTATATGTGCACTTTGGTACATTAATGTATCCATTTCTAGTACCTGTATCCATAGGTGACGCATGGGGGGAGGCACACGGGGCAGGGAGGCAGGGGGGGGAAAAAACCAAACACATGAATCCCCTGAGATTGGCCGCCACCAAAGCTGCATCTGCAGGCGGTTGCCACTCACCATGCCCCACCCCTCGCCACTGACACCACTGCCAGTGTCTGCGGGCGGTTCCTGCTCGCTGCTACGACGCTGGCGTCTGCAGGTGGTCTCCACCCGCCGATACTAACACCAGCATCTGCAGGCAGTCCCCACTTGCCACTTACTGCTGTGGTCCCCCCACAGTTTCAGGAGGTACCGGTCATTCATGCCTGTATCTACACGTACTAGAAAAGGGCGCATTAGACTAATATACTGTACAGTAATTGCTGTGCATGTATAGATGGTGATGCTTTACTGCACATTAGATTAGTCTAATGCATAGAAAAGTGTCTTGTGTAGACACACCCATTGATTCATTTTCAGGAATGAAAGACATTTCATGGAAAAGCACTGTGAAACATCCTATTTGTAACTAATTTAGCTTACCTATCATATATAGTTTATTTTCATTATGAGTATTGGCATAAAACCAACAATTCAGAGTAAAATTCACCATTTGTATAAACCAGTGTAGTTCCATTGTCTACTCTGAAATTGCTCTTGCCAATTCCTGCAATGAATTTAGTTCTTACTTTTCAGAGTTCCCTGATCTTTGCAAGCTAAGCAGAATGCAGTGACACTCTTCTCTCTGAGTTATTTTGGGAACAATGCCCCAGTTTGGTGACTTGCTATGGAGTGTCTGTCATTTGGATGGGACATAACACCAAAGTCATGACCATGTGTCATTTTAAGTTTTCATGAATGTTGTCTAAGGGTAGAGATGGTAACTCTTATAACTGGGCCAAAATCCAACTTGGGTAATTACAGTTTACCTCCCTAATTTCCCCCTGCCATTTCAATTGCACACAGTAATTTTCTTTACTTCCTGAAATTGCTGAATAGTGCTACAGTTAGACAGCTGTCACATTTTATGCAGGAGCGGTGTTACTCTTCCAGGATTGGTATGAAGACTGTGTGTGGGGGTGATGTTGCAGTTAATAGCCTTCATGTTTTAGCAAGAAGTCACCTGGGTTCTCAAAGCTTAACACCACTTTGATAAACAGGGGCTGTTGACCAGTGAATCCTGCTGTAGTCAAGGATAAAAATCAGGTGGGAGATCATTTTCCCATCCCACAAGAATATTTGAAATTTTTAATAACTTTCCCATCTGGCATTGAGACTCCATCCCAACAATTTTTGGGAACTGAAAAAGAAAAAAAAAAAACCCATGTTGGATCAATTGAAATGTTTCATCTTGCTAATCAGAATGTTTTGGTTTTTGTCTGACCTTTAATTTCTTTTTTGTATTTTATTGTAAGTTAACTGACCTTTTCCAAAAGTCATTTGACGTGAAAAATAAAACTCCCCCCCCCCCATATCAAAGTGGGACATTCTGACCATTTTGAGGGTTTGTTTGTTTTTGGGGGAGGGGTTTGGGGGTTCCCCCCCCAAAACAGCATATTTGCCTAAGCCAACCCTTTGGAATTGACAGTTTCAGTTTGGACATATTTTCCTTTGGAAAAAGCTAATACTTCAGAAAAATTCCAACACACCTTTATTCAATGGAGTTTGACAAATGTGTCCCTAATGCAGTCATACTGTAGTTAGTGGAGTAACACCAAGGGTAAATTCATCCATTCAGGCCTTATTTTCAAAGATTCTTAGCGCTCCTGTTGACCTCAGTGTGAGAGAAGACACACCCTTTGTGCATGCTGGGACAACTCTGATACTGCATAAATCTTAAGGAAGGAAGGAGAGGAGCTCTTAAAAGGATGTTGTAGAGCAGGGGTGGGTAGTTATTTGGGCTGGAGGGACACTTAATGACTTTTGTTGAACTGCTGAGGGCTGCATGCACACATGCATGTAGACACATGTACAGCAGGCACACATACAGACAAGGACATGCAAATAGGCACGTGCAGATACACACACAAGCTCCCCACAGCTCTCCCTGCACCCCCTCATCCACCCTGAGTCCCCAACATATGGCCAGGTCAGGCAGGAGCCACAGGCAGGAGCCAGCTGTACCCACACAGCCTAAAGCAGCACTGTGTTAGCAGTGCCCATGCCCCTACGGGGTCCCAGCCTGGCCTGGCAGGGCCTGGATAACCCACAGCTTCTGGCCCTCTTCCCCCTGCACTCCCTCCCTCAGTGGTGAGAACCATACCTGAGCTTCAACTCTTACTGGTGGTTGAGCTGTCTGGTCTGCAAATGGCCATAAGGTCAGGGCTGCACACAGATGGCCTTGGAGGGTAGAAGCCTGGCAGGAAGAGCTGACTTCCTGGCCTTGGAGCATATATTGTAGGCTAGGGTGTGGAATAGGGTTAGCTGAGAAGGGGGATGGCAGCTGCTGCTTCAGCCAGCTGGCACGGGGAAGGGAAAATGGTGAGAGGCGCTGAAAGCCAGGGCAGCCTCGGGTTGGATAGAATCATTTGGGGGGCCAGATGCTGCCCATGGGCTGTATTTTGCCCCCCTTTGTTGTAGAACTCAAAGTAACAAGATGAGAGCAAGAAAAGGGAATGAGAAATTCCCTTGATCCTGGGTGCATTTACACGAGATGCTTTACTGTGCAGTAATGTAGTTTACACAGTGAGCATGTCTACATGTGCCCCTGACTGCACAGGGGGAATTGGCAGTCATGATTGCGGAGCTGGGTGAGGAACAGGTTCTCCAGTTGCCCACACTGCAATCGCGGAGCAAGGGCTCAGAACTGTCAGGGACAAGTCTGGGGCAGGTCAAGGGCAAGTCTCAGCCCCATGCCCCAATCAGGCGATCGAGGCATGGGGCTTGGAAAGAGCTGTAGGGGTGGGACAGGTCCCAGTCCCCTGCCCCAATCCATCAGTGGGGCAGCTAGCAACAAGCTAGAAGATCAGAGCAGGGGGCTGGGACCTGCCCCTCCCCTGCAGCTCTTTCCAAATCCTGCCCCAATTGGGCCAGGGCCAGGAGCTCCCTGCTGTTGGGGCAGGGGGAACACTGTCCCCTCCCTGGCAGCAGGCAGCCCCCCACCAGGGCAGAGTGCAGTGTCACAGCCTGGGCCAGGAGGCAGCTGTCTCCTGGCCTGATGCTCCCTGCCAGCCACTGGACTAGCACCCAGAGGGAGTCTAGAGCTCCCCATGGTGGTGGCAGGGGAGCATTGCAGGGCCCCATGAAGCAGGAGCAGTTTGCTGCCATTAGCAGCAAATCTGCTCCTGCTTCCCTGCAGGGGTAGATACCTGCCTGGGAATGCTTAGTCACAAGTAGCATACTCACAAGTAACCTGCTCCCACATCAAATACACCTGTAAACACACACATGGAGCTTTTTTATACTGGGGAGCAGTGTCTCAGAGGAAGCAGCGGGGTGCCCATTGCTTGAATCAAAGCATTGATGACATAGGAAATGATCCTGCACTTTCTGGGAAGGTACATGTTAAGTTACTTGCTTCCAGTCACACTGGAAAATTCACAGTACATGTAGAATTAAAGTCTTCCCCGATATCCAACATACTAAAGTCTGACCACCACACCCTACAGTAAAATGCTTCAAATTTAGAACTTAGCCACGCTGTCAGTGAAATGGAGATACTCATGCATAGCCACTTCTGCAAAGGACTTTGTGATTTTTTATGTAGTATAAGAGTTGCTTATAGTATGGATCACTATCAAGAGAGGTTCTCTCTATGATCCAGACAGGATCTGCAGGAGCTTAGGAAAGATTCTAGCTCATCTCTGCAAGGAAGTTAGGACCTAGATTGTAGCTCCAGTCCCAGAGCTAGGCCAGCTCTGCCAGAAGATTCAGTTTTAGACTGAAGTTTCCTCATCCTGAGGTCAGCTGGCTCTGCTCAGGAAAAGCAGTGAAAACTTTATTTAGTTACTGAGCTCAGCAGAGACTCTGAATACACAAGGGAGATACCTAAACTATTAAAGAATAATACATTAAGCAATAAAAACAGATGCTGTATTTGCGCACTGAACAATCCTGTTCTCCAATTGGTCGGCATGCCGACCGTCTCTCAATAGTTTGGATACAGGATAGAAAACCAGAAGGTTGATTTGTTGAAATAACAAGGAAATCTGTGAAGCAGAAGGTTCTGGGAGACATTGTCATGCAACAGTCACTGCTGAAAATAAAGGGAAAATACAAACTGAAATACAGGAAATCAGTTATGCTCTTGAAGGTACACAGGGGTGGGAAATGGTTGCGACAAATAGGGTCCTAACCTGAGGCAATGACACAGACCATCTCAAAGAAGCACTGAACTCCAGTCTACTTTTTACCTGCTTTTGTCACTGGATTAAAGCAAAATCATAACTGAACTGTAAGGCAGAGATCATCTATCATCATATACTAATGAATTTGATGATAACCCTATCCCTAATATTTTTCACTGGTGACAGTTCCGAGAGGAGTTTAGCCATAAGATTCCATTTGCTTATCTTTGGGCACATCTACACGATAGGTTTACTGTGGCGTTGCCCAACTAGCTCCTCAGTGGGTGCATTTACATGTATGGTGCACTGCACTGTTGTTACTGTGCAGGCATTTAGTACTTGCTTAACCAAGTACTACATGACTTCACAGTAACCAGCATTACTGTGCAGTCCTGTTGCCACACTTATTTTTAGACATTATTGTGCAGTAGTAACAAGCTAACTGTGTAGTAGCCTCGCCATCATGGTTCATGTCTGGCAACGCTACAGAATCATAGCAACGAGCTATGGTGCAGTAGCTCATTGCTACTGTGCTGTAGCATCTCATGAAGACGTGCCCAGTAAAGTCTCAGCAGCTACAGGCTGCAGTTAAACAATAAACCCTGCCATAAGTCAGTGCTTGTCAACACAAGTACTGTTCTATGCACATATAGATGCCGACGGGGCTGGCTGGGGCATGAGGATGCTTCAGTGCAGGGGCTGCATGCGAGCTAGCTCCAAACTGGAGCAACTTCGTGCTCCACCCAGTCCCTCTGCAGCACACTGAGCCAAGTCGGAGCAGCCCTGGGCTGGCAGGCTGACCCCCAGGGCCCTCTGCCAGTTGGGGCTGCTCTAACTTAGCTCAATGTGTTGTGGTCCCATCCACATGTGTAAACGCTATGCTGTGGAGCAATAAACTCCAGCATGAACCGTGCTGGAGTTTATTCAGTTGAATTCTTTTCATATGTAGGCATGCTCCTTATCAATTTCTCTGATTATCAGTACAGACCTCCAGATTGGTGAAGGCAATGGCTCCATACTCCTCCACAATTATACAAGGTGGGGGAATCACGGGGGAATGTTGCCTTTCCTGGTATCTTAGGTGGCGAGATATGATCACTAGGGAGCTTTGTTTTCTGTTAAAAAAAAAAACCTGCAAATTCTCCGATTAAAACCCCCTAAATTTGCATTTCCCCCCCCCCCCATGATTAAAATGAAACATCTATATATTTAACACAGTCCCCCCAGCACTGCCACTGCCCATCACTCCCAACACACAGCCTCCTGCCCAACCAGCCCTACCAGAAGGGGTCCCCAGCTGCCCCTGTCCCACTTGGGCTGGATCATAGTGGCTGCAGTGGCTCCAACATGTGCAGGCAGTGGTAGAGCGAGTCCAGCCACAGCATGAGCTGGAGAGGAGGGGAAGCCTGTGGCAACCCCGTCCTAGGGCTGGGGCTCCCACACCACACCAGGCAGCCTGGCCACTCCTCCCCAGGCAGCGTCTCCCAGCTGGCCTGCCCCTGCGAACATGGCCCCCAGCCTTGGTGCCACTGGCCCGGCTACATTCCCCACCATTCCTGAAAGTCCCCCCCCCTTCCTTCCCCTGCTGGAGGGACTGGTGCCTCCCCCTGCCCTGCTACAGCCCCAGCTCCTGGACATCTTCCCCCAGTGCCAGCAGGTACTCGCCACCCCCTCCACACATGCCCGTCTCACACACTCTCACTCACATGTGTTGTCCCCCCATCCCCCAGACAGTCCTCAAGACCTGCCACTCCAACCCCCGCCTCCCATAGACTTACCTGCTTTCAGCTGCCAGGGCTGCTCCCACCACCCTGCCTGTTTGTATGCTGGTCACATGGGTGCATGCATGTACATGGTGCCCTGTAACAGGGGGCCTCCTCAGGGCTGATCTGCCTTTGGCCTGCCCACCTGTTTCTGGGCCAACTGCCCACCTTCTTCCCTGCCATGCCTTGTTGTTAATTAATGATCTTAATTAGGCAGGAGGCTGCCCATTTTATTGCCCGAATGCCAGGGGGCGCTATCTGCAGCTCTGTA